TTTAAATTTAATTTTATTTGTGAACATACTGTACAGAGGAGTTACAGTTACATGGGCAGGATAATGCGTACATTTCTTACCAAGCATTGCAGCCTCCTCCTTTGTTTATCCTTCACATCCCTTCCCAGCCTCCCCCCTCCCCCCTAATCCCAATCCTTCTCCTTCCCACCCCCCCCCCCAAACCAACGTTGTAAAGCTCGTTTTGGACATGACAACTTGTACTTCTCATTGTTGCAACAGGTCCACCTGTATCCTTAAACAACTGGTTTTTCCCCATCTCCTCCACAAGTTATACTGACATCAAATATAGTGAAAGCAGGGGTTATACTGTGGAGGAGGGACATACAAAGCAACAAAGAGATAATCTTATAAATGTGTTAGAAACACATGCATGAAAGAAAAAAAACATTAAAATACACATCTAAGGGTTCATTTTCCTGACATCACATTATCTGACCTTTTCCGCTTGACTCATACATATACTAGATATTACAAATAAGGGAAACCATGGGACCTACGTTTCTTTGGGCCTGGCTTACTCCACAAGACTCTTATCTTCAATAAACCATCAGAAAACCAGAAATGGCTCTGAGGCTCAAGTGGAAGAGCACTAGCCTTGAGCTGAGAGCTGAGGGATAGCACCCAGGCCCAGAGTTCAAGATCCACAGCCAACCAACTAACTAATTAACTAACTAACTAAATAATTTAAAAAATTAAGAGTTTACCTCACCACAGTTAGAATGGCTATAGTCAAGAAATCTAATAATAACCGATATTGGAGGGATGTGGCTAAAATGGACCCTACTACATTATTAATGGCAGTGTAAATTTATTTAACCACTTTGGAAGGCAATATGGACATTCCTCAAAAGACTACACATAGAGCTCCCCTATGACCCAGCAATCCCTCTTTTGGGCATTTACCAAAACAATTACAAACAAGGCCATAATAAAGCTACCAGCACAACTAAGTATATCACAGCATGATTCACCATCGCTAAGATACAGAACCAACCCAGATGCCCCTCAGTAGATGAATGGATCAAGAAAATGTAGTACATATATAATGGAATTCTATCCTCCACCAGAAAGAATGACACAGCCTCATTCGTTAGGAAATAGAAAGACTTGGGAAAAAATATATTAAGTGAAGTAAGTCAGGCCCAAAGAAACATAGGTCTCATAGTTTCCCTTATTTGTAATAATTAGTATATGTCTAGGACAAACAGAAAAGGTCTAACGCTTTGTACAGATAACCATATAAAATTATTCCAAGTGAAATGAACGCCAAGATAGGGACTCAAGAGGTTTTATCTTTCTTGCCATTGTTTTTAATGTACTTATAATGTAATATGAGATTTTTTTTGTTTCTTTTGTATGTTCTTCCCCCATGGTATAACCTATGTTTCACTGTATTTTTTCCCGGTGCCCTGCATCTTAATTCTCAGTTGTGGGGCTTGAACTCTGGGCCTGAGTGCTGTCCCTCAGCTCTTCAGCTCAAGGCCAGCACTCTACCACTTGAACTACAGTGCCACTTCCGGATTTTAGTGGTTTATTGGAGATAAGGGTCTTATGGACTTTCCTACCTGAGCTGGCTTTGAACCATGATCCTCAGATCTCAGCCTCCTGAGCAGCTAGGATTACAGGCGTGAGCCACCTGTGTGGCCATCTTATATATACAATTTTCTAATTTGGGGAGGGGAAGGGAAATAACAAAATGCTGAAATAAGGATACAGGTTGACCTGTTGTAACAATGAGATGTATAAGACACTATGTTGAAAAGAAACTTTCCAATGTGCCAGAAACTTTACAATGAGGAGCTGGGGAGGTCTGGAGGGAAGCACGCTGAGAGAAAAACAAAGGAGGAGGTAACAGTGCTGGATAGGAAATGGACTCATTACCTTACTCATGTAATTGTAACCCCTCTGTACAGTATCTTTACAATAAAAATATATACAAAAAAAAAAAAAAAACCTGAGGCAGCAAAGGATAACTCCTTTCATGAGTGCCTAAAGTGACAGTAGCCTTTATTTCAGTAGAGTGGCTCTAAATTAAGGTAGCACTGAGGTAATTCTGAAGCTGTTAAGTTTAATACAGCCCAAATTTTTGTCAACTTCACAGTAGCAAAAGTCTTACTGGGCAGAAAAACACAGCCCTTCTTGGCCAATCTTGGCGTGTAGTATCTACCCTAAGCTATGTCTGAGTCTATGGGTTTCAAGATTTTTCCCTTGGTAAGGTAGAAAACAATTGTAACGTTGAAATTCCTCAGACAAGTGGAATAGTATTCATCCTCTACCACTTCAGTTCCCAGGAAAACTAGAAGGAGGACACAAATTTAGTCAGGCTAATTCCAGATTGCATCAGGTTATTTAATCTCTCAAACGTCCTTATCATCTGAGCATTCTCCTGCTCTAGACTAGGTAGAAAATGCAATGTGCCTATGGAGACCAAAATCATGGCTATTTATCAGCAACATTTAGCTGGGCATTTTTTTTCTCCATGTCTTTACCAACTTTAGAGGGCCTTGTGTGTGGAAAAGTCATATGTAACAGAGATGAGTGTGACTAATTAATTTAAGCACAGAGCGTGTCAGATACATCTAGTGTTTTACTGACATCGTACTATTTCACCTAAGGATAGAACCTCTGTGCAAAGTTATTTCCATACTGCACATGAAAATACTAAAACATGGAGATTACATAACTAGCCACAACTATAATAAATTTTAAGAACAAGAGTAACATGTAATCATAAAAATTAACTGACAAGGAGGAATATGTATATGTATTCCTCCTTATCATATATATATATATGACATACATGTAGTCAGTCATGAGGCCTGAACTCTGGGCCTGGGCACTGTCCCTCAGCTCTTCAGCTCAAGGCTAGCGCTCTAACACTTGAGCCAGAGCACCACTTCCCGCTTTTTCTGCTTATGTGGTGCTGAGGAATTGAACCCAGGGCCTCATGCATGCAAGGCAAGCACTCTACCACTGAGCCACCTTCCCAGCCTTTGGAGGAATATTTTTAAGTTAGTGGAAAAGCATATAAATTTTAATGTAGTATCTTTGTTTGTGTGCATATCAGTACTGGAGTTCAAACTCTGGGCCTGGGCACTGTCCTTTAGCTTCTTTGCTCAAAGCTGGCGCTCTCTCACTTGAGCCACAGTTCCGTATTCAGGTTTTCCCTGTTAATTAAAGATAAGCAACTCATGGACTTTATAAACCCAGGTGACTTCAAAGTGTAATCTTCAGCTCTCAGCCTCCTGAGTAGTTAGGATTACAAGAATCAACCACAAAAATCCAGTTATGTATTATCTTTAATTTTAGTATGTAGAGGGAAAAAAAAGAGATTTCAAGACTTTATAAAACCAAATTGTTATTCAATGGCCTTATAGTTGAATATATTTCTATTTTGTTTAATTTAATTAAAATCAATATACTTTATTTGGGTAAGAAAACATTGATATATCAGCACTGTCCTCATTAAGATGAAAATTCATGATCTTTATACTGTGCCATATGACTTGAGAGTTCATTTCCACCTACACTGCTTACTCTTTGCATAAAGATAGCTTTATTATTCTTCAGGAAACTTACCCAAGAGGAGAAAAATTGCAATCACCATAACAGTCTGTTGTAGGAAATTCCAAAAAGACCTATCAGCTTTTTAATTGAAAATATCAAATAGCAGTTGTACCTCCAAAGTTGTACCTCCAAAATAACTTGATTCAAAATCTTTACATACTTGATCATGGTTATGTCATGATCATTTCCAATAGTAATTAAGATTCTGTATAAAATTCCTGCCTCCAATCAGACAGTAGACTTAAAATATGTAAAAAAAAAAAAAAAAGAAAGAAAGAAAGAAACAAAGTTATACTTTGTCCCTCCCAGTTAGTAAAGTTAATAAGTCTGAGTCATGCTGCACTTTGCATGGGAAATAATTTACTTAAGCGTTCTTATTCACTTGTCTTTTACAGATAGTTTAGGGAAATGGAATTTGGCTCTGTGTGCATGTGTGTGTGTGTGTGTGTGTGTGTGTGTGTGTGTGTGTATGCTCATACTGGAGTTCAGACTCAGGACTTGAGCACTATTCTTTAGCTTCTTTTATTTTTGTTTTGTTTTACTTATTGTAAAGGTGATGTACAGAAGGGTTATAGTTACATGTCAGGTAATGAATACATTTCTTTTTGAACAGTGTCACCTCTTCCCTCATTTTCTCCCAGTTTTTCCCTCTCCCACAATTTGTATAGTTCATTTTCAACATAGAGTCTAATGGGTATCCCTGCTGCATTTGTTCACCCTTTTCAAGACTAGTACACTACCACTTGAGCCACAACTCCACTTCTAAGAAATAGAGGTTGGGAGAAATCATGTTGAATTTTACTTTTCCTTGGAGTTCATTCCAATTACAATCAAAGAGATAACTATTTCAAATCAGAAAAATTATGTAAGCATGGCTGATAGCACAATGCTGAACAAAATGGCAAAGGTAAGAAACCATGCTAAATGGTTTGTCAGTCAACAGTTAGTATTTAAGAAATGAGATCTAGCACAACTTTAGGTCTATTGAAATTCATGTCATAAACTAAACTATGAAAGCTACTGAGATGCCCAAGGAGAACTTACCCTGAGGCCTAGAGTAGACCTGGGTAAAGAGAATGATGGTGCAGCCATAGTCTCCAAACAGCTGGAGCTACTTGCTACATGAGAAATGTATAAAGGAACTTCATGCTGGTCTCTACCACATTTCTACAAAGGAGTTCTCACTATCTATACCTCAGCTGCATATTTCAAATTTGTCAGAACACAAAAGTTTGATCCATGTGCCAAATATGCTCATCTTTTACAGATACATTTCCATAGAACAAGACTCCTTGCTCTGCACCTTGGATGACCACAAAGAAGTTGAGAAGCCATGATAATGAGAGGTAATAATGAGATGCTAAAAGGCATCAACATACTAAAGCTCAGCAGAATCTGAAGGCAAGTATAAGTCAAGTTTGAGATTGGTAGTGGTGCGCATTCACCACTTCTTCCAGAAACAGATTTGCTTAAATAGGAAGCATGGTCCAGTCTTCCAATGTTAATAGCTGCCAGTGTCTCCTTTAAAAAAATAGATTCCTTTTTTATTTTTTATTTATTTTTTTAATTAATAAATTTTTTATTGTGAAAATACCATACAGAGGGGTTACAATTACATGGGCAAGGTAATGAGTACATTTTTTATCAAGCATTGTTAATAGATTCCTTTTTGATTAGCAATGAGTTAAGAAACTGGCCTCAAATTCTGACCAGATCTCTCAGCACTAGTTAAACATAATATAACAGGAAGTCAGTCACTAGAGGTTAAAATTGTACGATTAAACTTATATGTAAATCATACACAGATTGAAATACACATCATTGAAATGATTGTAAGGGTATAAAACACACCCAAGGAATGCAGTTTCTTCTATGTCATCTCAATTTTCATAGAAAGAAAACTGATATGTTACTTTCTTCTTCACAGATATGAAAAAGGAAGCAAGAAGGCAAAGCTGAGACAAACAGATACTGCCCACAGGGCAGCAATGGCATCTGGTTGTTTTGGTCTTTGTACCAGCAACAGTCACTCTCAGATTTGTCAAATACCAGGGACTTCTAAGATTGTGAGGTTTCAGTCAGGGCTATTTGTGACTCTTCAGTAACACAGTGTGTCTGTCATTCAATGCACATCTTCATAGAGGATTGTAAGAGTTGAAAGGTCTTGAGACTTACCAAAGAAGAACTACTATTATTTACTATTATTTCAACCTAGTTAGATTTATTGAGGTGGCAATGAAATTTACCATTTTTCTTTAATTTCCTTTTATGCAATTATTATTCAGTAGGTACAGATGTTATACTGGGGTGCCACACAGATTATAGATCACTTCAAGTTGGTTTCTAGTAAGTCTGCATATGATACTACTTACCTTTCAGTTAAATGTTACTTGACTAAAAAAATTCTTGCCAGATAAAAACCATATTTGCTTATAGATGATGAAGTTATCATTTCTGTAACACCATAATTCTGAAATAAATGCCCAGTGCCTTGGTCATACCAAAAGAACTTTTATCTTCTACTCTGAAGACACAGGTTGTGGGATGACCTTCACATCTTTTCTTCTGTGCTTGGTAGTTGCCCACTCATAAATTATTTAATTTTCTCCCTTCTTTCTATTTTATCTGTTCATATTGATAAACTAAGGAAATTTTATAAATGTCATGTGAGGATAATATAACTACATGAGAGGCAAAAAAGTCTGCAACACTCCATCTCACTGAAAGGGACACACCTGTCCACTCAGCTATACCAGTGTGGGGCACGTGGGCAGCAAAGATGGCGCTGAGAAGGGGTTGAGTGGGCAGAGCCCAATTTGTTTACATGTAGTGCATAAACAGCTGCGGAAGCTGAGGTGCATGTTAGGTTGTGACCTTTACAGGGATGGGTTCCTTCCTTTTCCTCCCCATGCCACCTGGTCTTTTTTGCTTTTAAAAAGTGCTTGCTGTGTGGTAATAAATGAGTTCTTGCTTGACTTGACTCTCCGCTGGGTCTGATTGTCCCCTGGGCTAAGGGAGCCTTCTGATTGTCTCCCAGGTTAAGGGAGACTGGGGAATGGGCAAGCAGGGGCACTTCCTTTCCTCGACCCATCCGTCGTGGGATGGACGAAGACTCGACATACTAGGAAGCTTAAAATATGAGAAGGTCAGTCAAATGAATGCCCAGGCAGAAAACAAACAAAAGAAAAGAAAGACAAAGAAGAGGAAGTGCGGCAAGGGGTGGTTTCGTGGTACAATACCTGTCTAGCAAGCACAGGGCTCTGAGTTCAAACTCCAATACTGCTAGAGGAAAAATAGTGGATAGAAAAAAAAAATAGGCATCTATTCCTGTGCAATTCGATGCTAGCTTTGTCTTCATTCCCCCCCACCCCCACCCACCAAATAAGCTCCAGGGCCGTTTAGGAATCAGAGGGTTACTCTTTTGGAAAAATGTAGCATTACTAGCCACTAAATCCTCATTCCTACCATGAAGACACAAGGGGTGAAATGTCCTTTGCATCTTTTGTTCTGTGCTTGCTAACTGCTCGTTCATAAATTACTTGATAATTTGCTTCCTTATCTCCATTTTGTCTCTTCATATTTATTTAATCAGAGCTTTTTACATATATTTTAGTTATATGAGGATAATATATCTTCTACAATATTACGGCTTTTGCTTGACTTCATTTATAATGCTTTTGTAGTATGTAAATTTTAAATTTTACTGTCATCAGATGTATCAATGATTTGTACTTATTTTTATCTGGTTGAGAAATTCTTCCCTACTCAAGGACATAACTGTAACCTGCACCTTCAATAAATATGTGTTAAGCAAACAGTGGACAGATCTTGAAGACAATAATTCCCACTAATCTTGAGAATAAAGCAGTCTAAGAAGCAGAGAGAACTGAGCCGCCAAGAAGCTTATGATTCAACGTAGAAAAAGATAAGAAATAAACTATAGTGTTATGTAAGGTAATCATTTAAATGCATAAGTTGCTATAACTATTAACAATACTAACCTAACTTATGACTAAAACAAAATGAAAATATGTCTACTTAACTTCCTACAACTTCCTAAAATATTGGACTCATGCTTGTGGCTGATTCCCTTCATGTTTCCATCAACAACTTACCACACTCCTGTGTACTGAAGTCACTGTAGTCTCCAGCCTTAGTAATAATGCAATGTTTTGAAGTCAGTTATCCAAAAGTGTGGTTTGCAAAATGGTAGTGATACATCTTTGTCCCCATATAATTTCGAAGTGCAGCTTTATTCCTGTAAGGAGAGTATCAACCTCTTCATTCTTCTTCATTGAAATGCAAATCTTTGAGTAGGATTTGCATTTTAATTAAGCCCCTAATACTTTAAAGTTAATGAGTTTAATCTAAGGCTTTTTTTCTTGACAGAAAAGTACAAGGCTAACTGAAAGGGTTTTTGATCATTTTTCAGAAGTGTAAGACATACATGTGTTACTGAAAATAGGCAAAAGGTAGTATTAGGCATGAAATTATACAAAGGATTTACAGGAGATATCTGACCATCTCACAGAAGGCTAGATGACAACAGCTGTCATTTTTACTTCCTTTCTTAGAGTTAGTCCTCCAACTGTTCAATTTTGTTTAGAAGGATCTAACTAATTCTCTGTCCCAATAAACTTACCAGAAGAAATATAAAGTTGTCTTGTGCTTTATATGACTTTTCTAATGACTTTTCTAAACAATTTAGTGATATCACATAGAACATTGCAACTTACTAAAAAAATAGCTGAATTTATGTTAGCAAAATCCTCTAATCTCTTTGAGTCTCTAAATTCTATAAAACGAGCAATAATATCTGTGCATTTAGCTCACAAATTGAGAAATGGGATAAAAGTGAATAAAGCTTATAAGACTTGCTTGTACAATATAAAGAGATCTACTTACTTATAGATGTTAATTGGGATTTCTATGTTTGCGGTTAATAATGGAATAATCCTTATGAACTTGTTTAAACAAGGAAGGTACTTGCTTGTTCATATCACTATAAAGTCCAGGATAATAGGCTTGAGTTCAGTTTTACCAAGGATTGGGCTCCACATGTCTGTTTTGGTAATGCCTCTGCCATTCTAAGAATGCTAGTTTTCATCTTCATTGGAATACTATCATTATTTCAGAAAGATTACCATAAGGAAATCAATACTCCTTTCTCAATAATTTTCAAATCTGCTTTCTCAATAATTTTCATGGGCTTGATGGAAGAGGAAAAATACAAAAACTATGAAACTATGTTTCTAGGTGTCATGTTGGTTATCTACTATTGAAGCTCACTGACTGGCTAGAGGAGTGTCATGCACTGACTGGCCTAGGCCTTCACCATGGACTGGCCTATGGATACCCAGTTAATCACATGCGTGAAAAGGTCATTTCACCCATAATTTCATACTAAATGGTTACTATAGAGTCTTTTATCTACTTTATTAACAATAGGTACTTATTTATTTGTTATTACAAAGAAACTATGCCTCCATGATTAATGGAAGAGGTCTTAAAGACAAACCACATTGTCACTAGTTTTTCAAGCACAATAAATATGCTGGTGATCTAATTTCATTGCAAGAAAGGTTTTATTGACAGCATATGGCAGACTTTCTTTTTAGATCAGAATACTTTTTTCTCATTTATCTCAATCCTTGAAGCATCCTCATAAAGTATCTTACAATGTGAGGTAAAGGGAACTCCAAATAACCTACTTCTTCCCTTCATTCACTGATGGTCTGACATTCTGTCTTGAAAGGTCACTGAAATTGGTTTTATAAACAGAGTCAAAATGAACCATCAAAAGATGAACGTTATAATTATAAAATCTGTGGGAATTAGATCCATTGTTATCAATAAAATGTATTAAGAAAATAAAAGAATCAACAAAGCACAATTTCTGGATTGTGACTCAGATAGACTTCTCACTTCAGAATGTTCAAAACCCTCAATAATTTCTTTGTATGATGACAATCCTTTGATGCTATAAATTTATGAGTAGAGACTCTGTGTTAAGCCTGATTGAAAAAATCTTTCAAATTACTAAATGATCTCATTTTCTACTTTATTTCCAGAAAGGGCAGTTTAAACTATTTTGAAACTATTAACTTGTGGTTTTAATCTAATCAACTGTATTAAATGATGTTATACTAATTAATTAGGCAAGTAATTAGTAGAAACCACAGCCTCTTCTGTGCTAGAGCTTGAAATATAGTTAATGAAATTAGAATAAATGTTTTAAAAGCTACTAATAGAATAATTAGAGATTTATTGAAGTACATGATAGGACACCATAGCTACAAAAACATTTAAAGAACTGTTGCCAAGAGTTAAGACTGATTTTTTTTGTAGGAAATACAGACATTTAGATAAGCAACACCAATAGGAAATTCTACAATAAGGGAAAAAGGGTGTAAAGAATATTTCAGGTAGGGTGTGCATAATATTCAAAAACACAGAGTTAACAAATGCCTGTGTTCTATTTAGAATTCTTTTTTTACATTTTTATTATTACATCTTGAAGTCCCCGTTCTACAACACAGCATATGAGTACAAGGTGTCTGACAACACTGTCACCATCGCTCCTAACCCATCCCTTTTCTCACTATTTTTTTTTAACCGAGGTTAGGTGATTACATAAATTTCACATATTTCACAGTATTGTGGAATAGTGATTCTTAGTTAAAGTCACAAATACATACTAACCTTCACAAGGCAAATTGTCATTATGATGGTCTATAGTTGTGAATTCTATGAGCTTTGATACAAATTATTTCTTCCACATCATCTGCTGATTACATTTCTTTCCTTTTCCTAAGCATAAGCTGTTCCCTCTTTCCCTCTCATTCCTCC